AGGCTAGACGTCCAGCATGTTGCTGCTCGTTGCGCTGGTTCTATGAGAGGCTGGTGCTCCGGGGCCGGCTGATGGTTCCAGCCGGCCTCTGACGGTCCCTGCAGGTGGAGAGGGAGGCCGGGCGGCCACAGGTGAGCAGTAGCACGCTGGCCGTCTCTGGCAATGTCCGGAGCTGAGCTGCTGACGCGCGCCGAGCTGTCGCAGCAGCTCGTCCGGGGGCGACTAGCGGAGCTGTGGGCGCTCCCTCCCTCCGCTGCACGGCAGACGCGCCGGCTCGCTCAGTGCATCTGTACTGTGCTGGGGCCGCGGTGTCGCGGGCCGGCGGAGGGCCCGCCCTCCTCGGAAGCCGCTACCTCTCTCTCCTCGTGCCACGGACAGATGTGCTTTGTTTGCTCAGACGATCCTAAACTCGAATAGGAAGCTTGAGCGGTGGCTCATAATATCGAAAATACATGTCGTTAATAGTTGGTCAATGCTCAACGCTTTCTTCCTATCATATTCCCAGTAGTCCTCGGTAACCTTATCCAAAGAACTGCCGAAGGAAGTCTGACCGCAAGCTTGATGTGGAGCGGACTGTACCCGATTGCCAACTTTGAGCGCAATCGGCCCGGGCGCTGTCGAGGTGTGGGAGCACGCACTTCAACACATGGAAATGCATTGCCCGATGGGTGGCTATCGGCATGTGGGTTTCGGCGCATTCAGGTCAGGTATTGCCTAGTTACTGCAATGGGTAGAAACTTGACACCCTTCCGTTTTGCATGTGGCAGGTTCAGTGGTTGACGCCCGCATGCATCGAGAGTAGTCCGAACTTGATACTTTAAAGGGATGAGGTTTTGCTAATAAAAGACCGTAAGTCAATCAGCCTAGAGGTTACCTACCGCCTTTCAGAAAGGTGACTTCAGACACCTTTGACACGCGGGCTATGGCTGTACCGGACTGGCCACTCATATGCATCGAAAGCAGTCGAGAGTCCCTGCTTTTTAACCCGTGCCCTGCTGGGGGGGAGTTTGACCCCCCCCCCCTGTGGTTTTTCGCGAATAGCGCCGCCGTTTTTGGCACACCTTATCATACATCAATTTCACACTTCTTGTGAAAATTTCAAACCAAGGTCAGATCACTATGTCACTTCAAGTGACCTCACCTCATAAAAAGTTTCAATGTCTGCCATAGCTTCACCGAGTGACCGATTGCTTTGAAATGTTCAGCGATTGATAACAACAATAGTATGTACAAAATGTATATCTCGGAATTTTGATATCGGTGACCTGAGGTCAGGTCAATTTTGCGACCTCCCCATTATATACATAGGTCAATGGGAGAAAATTGAAAGGCGCCTCTTTTGGACGAAATCCGTTATAAACGCTATCAAACACTGAAATACAAGTAACTTTGACACACTGAACATGAAAATGGTACCCGTGACCCCCTGTTTACGCCCCTGAGGTCATCCCAGGTCACGAATGGTATCTAACAGTTTTTCGCGTTTAACCTTTGATAGAGGCACGGTAGAGCGATTAAAATGCCTTGAATATGTTCAGATGGACGATACGGATCGACCGATATGCAATATGACCCTTTCGGGTCAGGTCATGACCTTGACCTGAGGTCAAATTTTCAAGTTGACCTTTCAAGGTCAAGTTATAGGTAGTTCATCCGATCTGTTTTGACGAGAGGAACACGATGCCGGTAAAAGCAAGCTCGTGCAATGTTTGAGTCAAAAGTTATTGCAGAAAAACTCCGAAAATCGGCTATTTTGGCAGTTTTTGCCCCCTGCAGGCAAAATCGTTGACGTTAGGTCGAATCTGTGAACCATACTCAGAAAGAGCGTTAATAGGGCTATCGAATGCGCTTTTCCGCGGCGCTGTAGCTCTATTGGTTCCCGGGTTATGCGTTGGCTTCTTGGAAATTGTCCACATTCGACCTGAAAATCGGCGAAATTTTGCCTTTAATGACCTCTGGTGACCTGACCTTTAACCTTACCAAAAAAGTGACTTGTGTTTTCTTCATCATTTTTGGCGCTCTTTCGAACGCCGCCTTCCGCGTATCGCTAGGTGGCCCAGGAGCCGAGTTAGAAGGGGGTGTTCAAACACCCCCTCCCCCCAGCGGTGCGTGGAAATCCAGGACCCCCGCCGGTCGCGGGTTAAAGGACGGATCTATCTGATGCAGAAGACCGCTTGTCGATCGGCCGAACGTTTTTTCAAGATGTAGGTAATCCTCAAGTGTCACGGCCGCCTGTGCATATTTTTCCCGTTAAAGGGACTATCCCACCTTTAACATGGGGTTTGAGTTGAAATAGCCAAGTTTGCGGCGCGGCCTCTTGGTGTTGAAGAAATTCGTTCCCTTCATTTGAAAATGGGCCTTGCGCAAGGCCCTATCTTCAACATGGAGCGACCGTTAGTGTGACGTCACCTCGTTTAGTCATTCTGATTTAAATGGGTTTGTTCGTTGAAAAATCGCTTAAAACTTGGTCTGAACTTTGTTGTGGTGCCTACAGAGTAAAAAGAATCAGCTTTATGACAGTAATGTGGCCTGGGGAAGGAGGTAATTTTGGGCTGTGACGTCACATATTTGAAAGTTTGTGTTTGGAAAATGGGATCCTAAGATGTTTAATGAAAAATAAATGCCAAAACCGTGTTCCTGGTCATCCAATCTATTAAGTCGGGCACAATTTAACTGGTTTTAACAACATTTTAGAAGGTGGGATAGTTCCTTTAATGGGAGAATATGACCTTTCTTGTATCTTGAAGAAAAAATATTTGACCGTCACGCTATTTTTGCCGTACTTTTAAACAAATATCAAAAATAGTACATTTTTGAATGTGAAAACGTTTTTCTTTTTGCAAGAGGGAAGCAGTACTTGCATTACTTGCAACACCCTTTGAAAAAGCATTGTCCTCTATAAAAAGTCGCAGTGTATTGCGCTTGTGTCACAAATAACGGCGCTTTAGTTTTAATCAATAATTTATTATTAATAATTAATTAATTTGATTGATAATGATTAATACAATTAATACACAGTTGCCCCAGAAATAAGGAGGAAGACTGTGTCTGCGTCCGTTCCTTATTTAAAAATGGAAATGCAATTAAATTATGTATATCTAACCAGTGCCCATCTGTTTTAATCATTCCAAAACGTACAGGGGCAAACTTCATAAGAAAACTTTTATAGACAAATGGAACATAAAGGCAGCGACCAACTAAAGTAAAAATGTATACCTACTATTGATGAACGTTTATTTGCCGATTTTTTGGTATACGCCTTCAAGTACTTTCTTCAACATCACTATCAAGCGCGGAGTGATTGAGCGACTTCAGCATAAAAATACGGCAATTTTTTCCTCGATAAATTATAATGAATTTACACGATATTTATTCCTTTTCTACTAAAAAGATAGTTCCAACTCAAATAAAGCGGGAGAAGGTCATAATCTACATTTAAACCAGAGGTAGGTAAACTCGCTCGTTCGCTCGTTAACAATAAGCTGCATGCGCAATGCGCACTGCACGGATCTGAGAGAATGTGTCTGGGATCGGATTCCACTGGTGTGGATGTGCCGCGGCCCCCGGCGCTCGCCCGGCTCTGAGCCCTGAGCCGGTCGGCCCGACGCGACGGCCGGCGGCTGTGTAGAGTAGGTGCCAGTACGGTGCGCGGCGCCGCGGCCGGCGTGTGACGGTCGGCAGCGCCCGCCGCCCACTGCACACGGTGAGCCGCCGGCCGCCCTGAACAGGCCGCCCCGTCGAGAACCAAACGCCACAGCCGCATGTTTATGTGGGCTGGCCGCTGAGCCGCTGGGAGGCTGTCCTCTGCCGCCGACCGATTACCTTATCAACACGCTGCAATCGCCGCGGAGGGTTTCAAACGGCGGCCACCGCTGCGGGCTGCCGCAGCTCAGCCAGGAGCTGTCGGGCGCCGGCCGTGCCCCAGAGTCCGCTGCGGCGCGCTCGGTGCGGTGGAGGGCGCCGCTCGGCTCCGCGGCACGTGGTGAGCAGCCGCACCGGCGCTGGCTGCGCGCCGCCGCGGTCACACGCCACCGGCCGGCCGCCGCCGCGCCGGGGCACACGTACGTGAACGGCGCCGCCGGGACGGCCGACTGGGCCCGTGTTTTTGCCTGCCGCGCGCGGAGGGCGCCGGCAGACGCGACCGACCGACAATTCACAAAAAGGGGGAAACGCGCGGTGCGCTGCGCGACGCATTCCTCGGCGGCGGCCAGGCCGTGGCGCGTGCGGCGCACCATTGGTGCCGTGCCACTACTCTGCACCGCGGCCACAGAGCGGTTAGTTGGCGCGGCCGTGGTGGCATTAGAACCGTGGTGGTCGGTGGGCCGCGCTGGCTCTCGGTCGGGTGAAACACCCCGCGGCAGGCACTGGCGGCAAATTTGCCGCGATTGTTAGACACGGGACACTGTACGGCATGTGTTGGTTTGGTTTCAACCTCAGCGATTGGCTTTGTAGTCGTTTTTAGCGTGTTCCTGTTCGCACCATTACAGAGCGGCCGTCCGTCAGCCAGCGGTGAACGTCGCTGCTCGCCGCTGGCTGGGCCGCCTTCACTCGGCCCATTGCCGACAATCGGATCGTTCTAATGCTTGCGAATGTATAGGAAGTACCACGAGGCGCGAGCTGCGGGGCTGTCGCTGTCCCACTCAGTCGGCTGTGGTCAGTGGCGGCGCCGGCCGAGGGTGCGGAGCTGGTCGGCCGGCTGGTGTGGAGGGAGCGGTCGGCGGCAGGTGCCGACTGCCGACTGCGGCCGGTCGCCGCTCTCCGTCTCGGTGCGCCGGCCAAACTGTTGCGTATTGATCGTGGCGGCGACACGCACACCGCCCGGCACGCACACGGCCCGGCCCAGGGGGCACACCTGATCGGCGACCTTGGGGCGAACTTCGCGAGATAGCTGGGTGGGCCGTGCTATTGCACGTGGTGCAGCCAGAGGTCAGGGTATGTGGGCGCGGGGCCGGCTGACCGGTGTGGGTGCTGGACAGTGGACTGACGGCCGCTCCCCGCAGGTGGTAAGCCGAGCTCGCTGGCGGCGCGGCCTCAGGAGCAGTCCGGCGCACTGAAGACGGAGGACGGCGCACCTCCGGCTCCGCCGCCGCCGCCAGCGCAGCAGCAGCAGCAGCAGCAGCAGCAGCAGCAGCAGCAGCAGCAGGGCGGGCCTAATGACTTCGGCACTGGTGAGTTCCTCTAGAGCGGGTGGTTCGTGGCTACTCAGGTAAGTGGCCGTCAGATATGCTTTTGCGGAACCCTCACAGGGGCAGGTGTAGGTACCTCAGAGCCACCGATATAGGGCTGCATAAATGGTGTGGCACTGGCGTGGGGGACCCTCAGTGGTGTCCTTGTGGGCCCTTAGAACCACTGGTGTGGGGCTCTCAGAGGTGCCGGTTGTGTACCCTCAGAGGCACTGCTGAGGGCCCTCACGGTCTCCGTTATGGGATCCTCAGAAGCCGGCGTAGACCCTGACGGAGATCTTAGTGTGGCTACTTACTTACTTACTTACTTACTTACTTACTGAACCGGCCGGCCGGCCGCTCATACTCAGGATTTTCCCTTAATTCAGTATGAGACTCCGCTCGCTTCGCTCGCTCCGTAATTACAGGAAAGGTGATAGGCTAGGAAAAGGAAGCCTGTGGATTTCCTGCTCATTGGCTTGTAGTTTAGTCGGTTCTGGTTTGGTACAGCAAGTTCTTCCAGTGTTTGTCTAGAGCATTTTTGAATCTGTTGACTGTCCTGGCATTCACTACTTCTTCAGGGAGACTGTTCCACTTGTTCACAACTCTGTGCGAGAACGCGTTCTGCCTCTGTGCGCGATTTGCCGATGGTTTAATCAGCTTAAGTGAGTGTCCTCTTGTGGTGGCGTCTGGTGGAGCCCTCTGAAAGATCCGGGTGTGGTCGATCCTAATTCCTCCTGTTAGAATCTGATACACCATGATCATGTTCCCTCTTTCTCTTCTGTAGTGCATGCTTGGTAGCTTCAGTTTCTCCAGCCGCTCCTTGTATGCTAGATGCCTGACTGATGCTACCATTTTTGTGGCCCGCCTCTGAACTCTCTCAACCTTGTCTTGGTCACCGCAGTAGACAGGACCCCACACACATTTCCATATTCCAGTATCGGTCTAACCATTGCCTTGAAAAGTAGTGGCAGTGTGATTTCGTCTAGGGTCAGGAAAGTGCGTCGTATCAGACCCAAAGTGCGGAAGGCCTTTCCCACTGCTGAAGCTGCCTGTGCATGAAATGTTAGGGAGTCATCAACCAGGATCCCAAGGTCTCTCTCTTCTGATGAGACTTCCAGCTCCCTGTCTCCAACAGTGTACTTGTACTTTATATTTGTGGCTCCAAGGTGCATGACCTTACATTTGCTGGTGTTAAAGGGTAATTGCCATTTGTTGGACCACGCAAGCAGTGTATCAAGGTCACTCTGGAGCTGTCTTGCATCCTCTTCTCTTAATACAGGCCGATACACCTTCGTGTCGTCAGCATAGATCATTATGGCACTTGTTATGTCCTTTGGCAGAGATTGGATTGCAGCTACAAAGAGTGTGGGGCCCAGGACACTTCCTTGTGGGACTCCACTGGTGACATCCTCCCATTCAGAACTTGTCCCGTCGAGTACCACCCTCTGCTTGCGCCCAAACAGGAAGTCTCTTATCCAGTTCAGTAGGTTGCCACTGATGCCAAGTCCTCTTAGGGTAATGACTAGCCTCTCATGGGCCACAGCATCAAACGCCTTCTTGAAGTCAAGATAAATTGTATCCACTGGGGTACCATCATCCAGGTTCCTTGACCACTCCTCCATGACAAGAATCATCTGAGATATACAGGACCTGCCAGGGACAAATCCATGCTGGGCATCAGAGAGCACTTCACTGTCCATGAAGAAATCAATTAATTCATCCCGAATCAAAGATTCAAATATTTTGCAGACCTGTGAAGTTAGGCTAATCGGCCTATAGTTTTCTACTTTATCTCTGCGTACCTTTGACTTATAAATTGGGCTAATATTTGCTATCTTCCAATCACTTGGCAGTTTACCTTCATTCATTGACTTCCGAAACAGAATTGACAGTGGTAAGCTAACCTCCTCTGCTGTCTCCTTTAGAATGCTGGGGTGAACCCCATCTGGACCTGGGGCCTTGGATTTGTTCAACTTGACCAACTTGTTTGCAATCTTTTCTCTTGTAATGGTTATATCGTCTAGTATCCGATTCCCCTCCACCGGTGTAACTGCTGGTAGGGTCGCCATGTCTTCCTTGGTGAACACAGAACAAAAGAATCTGTTCAACTCAAGTACCTTCTCTTTTGGTATTTTTGCCTCTGTGCCATCTTCTCTGATGAACTTATCTATCTTGGTTTGTGTCTTTGCTTTAGACTTGCAGTATTGCCAAAACGACTTTGGATCAGACTTAAGTTCACCTGTCAGTTTCTTCTCAAAACTGCTTCTTAACTTCCTCGTGAAAGATCTCAACTTGTTTCTACTAGTCTTATATCTCTGAAAGTCTGCTTCAGAGTTTGTTTTGATAAACTTCCGGAAGTGCTTATCCTTTCTGTTTTTTAATCGAAATGCTTCCCTGTTCATGTACATATTTTTCTTATGCTTCGACTGCTGGAGAGGAATCACTTCATTACATATTTCATCCATTCTGGACTTGAAAAAATGCCAACCTTGTTCTATGCCTCCTTCTGCCATGCCCCTCCAGTCAGTTTGTTGTAACAGCTCTTTGGCTCTTCCATAATTACCCTTGTTGTAATTCCTTTTCGTTGGGCAGCATTTTGCTTCCAAGCAGTTACATTGTATTTGGAGTGACAAAGTTGCATGGTCACTATGTCCAAGTGGGGCCAAATGTTGCACATCTTGGACAATATCTTCCTCTGTAGCAAGTATAAGATCCAGTGTACTGGAATTTTGCCCTTTGCGGAAGCGAGTTTCTTGGTGTACAAATTGGGTAAGCAAATTTTCCTGGCATGCTTGCAGGAACATATTAGAGTGGTGATTCTGACCTGCTCGTACTGTATGACTTTGCCAGTCTATTTCAGGATAGTTAAAATCCCCCAGGAATATTATTGGAGATCTCTCAGACTCAGTGAATCTTTCAATCAGGCAACATATTTCCTTGGTAGATTCAAGTCCATTGATGGATGGGCTTCTATACATGCCCACGACTCTCACCTGTTCTGAGCTGGAGATCCTAATTCTTACACCGACTGCTTCTGTCAGTGTTGTGCCGACATTGAACTGTTCCACATCTAGCAAATTTTCTGCAATGAATATTGCAATCCCTCTTCTGCCTCCTCTTCCTGGATTCTCACTTTCCAATACAAAGTTAATCAACGGTGCTTGATAACCTTGAATCATTATATCACTTTGCACTATTTCGTTGCATTGTGCTTTGGGAATCACTTCAGTCAAAATGATGATGTGGGGGGCTACAGAATTGTTTATCCTTAATTCCAGTTCATCCTTTTTATTTAACAGCCCATCTACGTTCGTGTACAGCACTCTAAGAGATCTCAGTTTCCTTTTCCCTCCTGTTGTTAGTCAGTTTTGTCCTGACGGGGTAGAACCAGCAGGTCCGTCCCCTCGGGATGGATTCTCCCTCACATCACTTGCTTTTCGAGTGTCAGCTACACATTTTCCTTTGAAAATCCTCACCTTTTCCCCTGCACTTCTTCGCCTGTTGCACTCGTCTCTCACTTTCTTTGCCTGCTCTCTTTCCTTTCTGGTGAGATCCCTGTTTATGTATATGCTTTTAGCAGTTTCATTTATACTCTCTCTTAGACCGTTTCCTGCCTTGAGCAGATCCCACTTGCTTTCCTCGTTTTCCATTGTCACAATCAAGGGTCTGGGCCTATCCTCCACTTTCTTCCCTGCCCTAAATGCCTTTTCTATTTTGACATTCCTTTTTAATTCCTGTTTCACAATGTCCGTGAACAGAGAAATATCCTCCTTGATCCGTTCCTCTGCGGAAGCTGCTTGGCTTTCTGGTAAATTATAGATTGCTAGGTTCCTAGCCCTTTTCTCCTGTTCAGCTTGCTCAGAGAGACAACCCTGAATTTCTGCTGATATTGACTCTGCCGGTTTTGTACTGCTGTTCATCTTCAAAGCATCTGCATAGGTCTTTCTTACCTCTGCTTCTTCTGCTCTCATTTTGCTAGCCTGTGTGTGCTGTTCCTGAACAGCCTTACTCAACTCGTCTATCTTTCTTTCCATTCGAAGTAGGCGTGCTTGGTCTATCTCGTTAACAGCTTTTCCGAGTTTGCCCTGCACCAAAGTTCTGAACTCCGGCATGAACACTTTGCAGTTTTGACACAGCCAGAACAGGTTATTTTCCCTGATGGCTACATAGGCCTCTTTTAGTAGTCCCTGGCATGCAGGATGGAACCAGTTGAGACACAATTCACACTCAATGCCCCCAGGCCCCATCAGCATTGTTTTCCACAGTTTTACCACACGAACCTCCTCTGGGACCTTTGCAAACTATTTTGCCTTCGTCATCTCCCCTCTTACCTTTTTGCTTCTTGGTCACAGCTCCACTACTTACATCGCTGTCCTCATTTTTATTTTCCGACGCGGCACTTATATCCTTGCTTATATGTTGCGCATTTGTCTCCGTCGGCGTACACGGCGCACTCGCACTCCCGCCTTTTTCCGCTTGCGGTTTCAGTTTCAACTTCAGCGGCATTTTCTCCACTTTCGTTTGAGACTTCAACAATATTGTTTCTGGCTTTTCTTTTGTTTAACAATATTATTACAATACCACAGGTTGACTTTCAAAGGATATCTTTCACCGCTATTGGAAAAAAACCACCAGAGGGCGCTGTTGGCACAGACAAAGGGCCTGGGGCGGAGCGGCGATGGACACGTCCGGCCGGGACGGGTGAGGATCGTAGAAATCGATGGAGCACTTACGGGTCCATGAGGTGCTCTTACGAGACCTGTGAGGTCTTTCTCAGTCGAAATATAGTCAGCGTGGACCCTCAGAGGCTAATTGGTGCCACAGGGCACTTTGTGGCCGGGTGGGCTCTCAGAAGCACCAGTGAGGGCCCTCAGTCTCACAGTCGTCGTAATGGGGCCGTCTGAGAGAAATTGGTGTGAGGCCATTACAGGCTGGTGTAAGTCCCTAGATATATGGCCCCTCTTGGGCCGGCAAAGACTCTCAGAGGCAGGCAAGGGGCCATCAGAGGCCGGTAAAGGGCCCTCAGAGGCCGCCAGTAGCCTTCAGAAGCCGGCGTGTAACCCTCATGGACAATGTAGTGTTGCTTCTTTGGACCCACGAGGTGCTCTTACGAGCCCTATGGGGCCTTTCTGAATCGAAATATGGCCAGCATGGACCCTAAGCGGTAAACAGGTGCCACAGAGCCCGTCCAACCCGAAGGGTCCTCTGAATCCGATAGGGGGGAGACTGGAGGGCACGTGCCTCCTGGGACCCCCTGACTACGCTACTATTTCATATGCGCCATGGCGCCAGGTATTTTGGGCTTGCACCCCAACTTGAAAAATTTTCCTGGGCCCCTGGGACATTGTATTAATTATAGGTATTCGTCATTAGCTTGCACTATCTGCAATCTACCCATACTATTCTTTGTCCCTAGACGCGCTTAGAGAGAGCAGAGATAAGCCCATACAGTCAGTGGCCCGTTAGTTTCGCAAACAGCCGCTAGTGGCGCTAGGGTCGCCTATGTTGTGAGATGGTGAACTCCTCTCGCTCGGCGCCGCCTGGGGTTAAAATTTGCGGGAAATAAACAATGCCACGCACTTTACACATGAGTGGAGCACAATAAAATCGATGGAGCACCTTGCATTGCGATTAGTGACACACCCTACTCCACAGGTATAGACGACTTGTCGGGAATCATAACTAATTTATACATCGCACGCCGTTTTGTATTACGGTACATCATCGGTGTTAAAAACTTATTTGGGAAAATATTCATATCTCCAATACAATGTGCGCTTATCAGTTTTCTCAATAATTCAGCTAGCAATTCTCGTGCTGTGTTCCAGAAGATGGTTACAGTGAGGGTCGAACTTGAAGAAAACGAACTCTTATTATTATTAATTATTCGCGTTATTTTCAGATCCTTTTTCAGAGAATTCTACGCTCGTTATCTATCGAAACAGCCTTCTATGAAAGAAAGTGAGAGAAGTCAGTTGCCCGAAGGTCATTGACACCCAATGTCATGAAATGTGGCAGCTAAGCTGTGCCCTCGTATGTTTCTGAATCTCGCCTGGCCGCACGGAGGTGTTTCAGCGCTGGAGGGCCAGTTTCGGACGATGAGAGCCGCGATGGTGGCTAGCTGGGCTGTGAACCGATCTGTTGCATCAGGTTCAGGTGCAGCCGAGCTGGTTGCCGGAGGAGGGGTGTGCTATGCGCTAACGCAGGCACACAGGCCACATCACTACCCTGTGCTCGGTGTTGCTGCCTGTGATGTGCTCCGTGTGTGTGATGTGCTCGGCGTCGCCGGCTGTGTTGTAGTTGCTGTGGCCGGCTGTGTTGTAGTTGCTGTGGCCGGCTGTGTTCCGTGTGTCCGACTGTGCCCCGTGTCGCTGACGGGCGGCCGTCTGGTCCGCAGAGCCGCCGCAGCCGCCGGCCAGCGGCGGGCCGGCACCGGCCGCCCAGCCGCTGCCCTCCAGTGTCATCAACAAGCAGCCGATGACGGCCGACGCCCAGTACATGCAGCAGCAGAGCCACATATTCGTGTTCAGCACGCAGCTGGCCAACAAGGCGTACGAGGCGGTGGTGCTGCAGAGCCAGTACCCGACCATCATCGCCTACCACTGCTCGCAGCCCGGCACCAAAAAATACCTGGACGTAAGTGGGCGCCGCCTCTGTGGGCGCCGGGCACAGGATCATTAGCATTCTCGCTGGCTACCAATCCTTCATGTACTATCACATAAAAGTCAGTAAGGCGCCCTTCGGGTGTGCAGTGGTGAGCCCCGCAGCTGCAAAGTGAGACCCGACCGACTTGTGCGGCGACTCTTTGAAATGGCCTTTAAAGGTAGTGTGCCACCTTTGAAAGATTTCCCATTTTATTTTTCCTAGGATAAGAAGCTTCTGTTGTTACCTAATATCGCAAAAAAAAATCAAAAATGGGCCTGGAATAGTGCCTTTTTCGCCTAAAAGTTTATCGGTTTTTAGATATGTATAACAACTGTAGTGGGCTCACCTGCAAACAGGCGTCGGCAACAATCGCGAATGCGGCGCACATGTGACAATAAGCAAAGGTCATTATAGTGTTACGACCATACGACGTACGGGAATGAGTTATCAGCTGTCTAATCGTAGACAACACAATGTCGAGCCTTAAACTGTAAGCCTGTATTGGTATTGTTTCTTTTATATGGCTGTCGAACATTATTTATGGTTTGAAATATGATTTTATGTAAAATAATTGATATGAAAAAGCCGTCTCATAAGTTATGACCCCATTTCACCACACGCAAGTGGCAGAAATGACAATGATCAGCTGACGCATTTTTCTTGGCCGAAGTCAGAGCGCGCAGCCCGACGCACCACCACCGCACCACAAAGTATGAGCAGAAGCCGCGGCCAAAGCCAGGGCCCCGGTAACGTGAGGTAGCCGAGTCGGGGCAGCGTGCGCTGACCCAAGCCGGGGCCGCAGCTTTGGGCGCGGTCTACCGCATCCCCGCGGGCAGCCCCAGGCTATCACATGACACCGGGAGGACGCGCGGCTCCGGCTTGGGTCAGCGCACGCTGCCCTGACTCGGCTACCTCACGTTATCGGGGCCCTGGCTTTGGGCGCGGTCTACCGCACCACCTAACAGGCGTGTTCGAAACCGCAGGAGCTGATGATGAACGGGTTTATCGAAACTTGATTGGATGAGCATATCGGTAATAGCGATTTCAGTGTGTGCATTTATTGTTCATAGTGGTGTGAAATGTGGTTGGGGTACGACCGACAACCCGTCGGGGCGAATTTCGCACTGGGGTACTCAAAATTTGAAGAATTTAAGACGTTTCCATGAGTTTTGAAGGTATGGATAAGTTCTAAAAATCCGGTTCTCCTTATCTGGGCCATTAACTCCATACGGTCCAGGAAAGCTGGCACACTACCTTTAAAGGCCAGCCCGCTTTCAGCACAACCATCGCATACGCTTTGAGATATAAAAATGGCCCCTAAACATGCGCACGTGCAGAAGCACACCAACCGTGACACTCGGAAATGTGTTTTCCGATATGTGTCCAATGATGAGGCAAGTTTTAACGCCATTGACCTAGTTTTTGCGAAGTCATTGTCAGAGAAACAGTTATGGCGTCCCTTCCCGTTTTCGCACGGGGCAGGTACCATCGAAGACCATTTGGCCGATGATATGTAGTCGAGTGGTATCAGAGATGTAAGCCCTTCAATCCCCGGTTGGCCGATCGCTCCCGGTCAATATTTGTTCGTTAACCTACGTAACGCCCAATTTGAACTCACCCGTAATGAGATCAACATTTCAGAATTATGAAATCGATTATTTAGTAGGGTGAAGTCGTATAAGAGTACTCACTTAAGGGATTTCTTGCTCTCATTTGTTTAATATTTGAAAGAAAGAAATCGCAAATATGGAATATTAAAGTTCATTGAATTAGCCATCAACCCATGAGGCAACGATCCTTCAGCGTAAATGGAAGTGGTCTAAAACTGACGTTTTCTGAACCGCTGCTGTTGCGCACTCTTACCACATCGACACCTTTTTTTAAACCCCACATCTGCTCTCCCGGGAATTTCCGGGAGGCACGAAAGATCTCCTTTTAAAAGTGTCCAATCGTCCGATCCTGATCAAATATGTGTGTTCGTAGGCCTGTTCTGGTATTGCTTTATCTGCCAAGACAGACAAACTTGAGAAAAATCGAGTGATTGTACCTTTTTTGAAGGTCTCTAACCAACTTGTCTGAAATTCACCGAAGAACAAATGTGGGGTTTTAAAAAAAGGTGTCGACATGGGGTGTGTAAGAGTACGCACATCATGCGGGTGGAGTACGCAAGAAGCATATGAACACACACCTATGCAGCTTGTACTATCCAAATGCCTAACATCAAATTCAGAAGACATTTACTTTAATTCTAGTATCCAAAAATAAAAACAAAATAAATCTTGCAAATCTATTAAACAAGAAATAATTAAGTTATATGGTTCTAAAAAAAAATGTACAATCAAAAGGGAGCATACCTCGTATTTATAAGAATTTCGGGTACCTACGCATCTGCCTCACAGTGCTCCATTGATGATATAGGTACCTACAAAACAAACGTGATTGAGCGATATATTAAGAACTTTATATTTCTGTATATTCGATATAATGTATAATTCTGCGTACTCTTACCCTCATGAACAGTGTGTACTCTTACCCTACATGCAATTCGCGCACAAAACAACCCCGAAATATTGTGCCAGTAAAGGTTTCCAGTTTTCAAAATCGTTTGCTTCTTCACCTGTCGCTGTGTAATTTAAATTATATTTTCAATAGAAGTGTGCAAGTCTTCTTTCTATGCGAAGAAAACGACAAAATGTCTATTATTTGAAGGGCAAACGCCCCGATCGCCCTGCCCCTAGAGCCGCCAGTGCGAGGGACAGTCGAGGAACTACCAGTTAGAATTGCTTCGCTCTAGGGTTTTTGCTCGCCAACTTCAAATAGGCCAACTTCTGGTGTGTAACGCACCAGGACCGATGCTGGAGGCGTCTGATGTAACGGTACCAGGCCGTGTGGTGTAACTGTACCAGGCCGTGTAGTGTAACTGTACCAGGCCGTGTGGTGTAACTGTACCAGGACCGATGCTGGAGGCGTCTGATATAGGTGTACCAGGCCGTGTGTTGTAACTGTACCGGGCCGTGTGGTGTAACTGTACCAGGCCGTGTGGTGTAACTGTATAAGGCCGTGTGGTGTAACGATACCAGGCCGTGTGTTGTAACTGTATAAGGCCGTGTGTTGTAACCGGAACAGGCCGTGTGGTGTAACTGTATAAGGCCGTGTGTTGTAACTGTAATATTGGTCTCAAGATAAGGGCCCAGGCGACCTGTAGTACGGATGCGGTGAACCCTCGCCACAACTCGAGTGGGGGTGGGGCTGGGTGGGAGGATAGGTGCACTCGGCCCGAGCTGTGGCGAGGATAAGGGTATTCACCGCATTAAAACTACAGGTCGCCTGGGCCCTTATCTTGAGACCAAGAGTACCAGGCCGTATGGTGCAAGTGTACCAGGCCTTGTGGTGTAACTACCAGGCCGTGTGTAGTAACTGTACCAGACCGTGTGGTGTAATTACTAGGCCGTGTGGTGTAAAGGCTAAAACAGACTCTTTCCGCATTCAAGAAATCGCATGCGAGAGCCTGTTCAAATACATTATAATTCTTCCTGCATCAATCGCATGCGGGAGGTGCGTGCGATTGATGCGAGCGTGCTTTGGTGTATTTGAATAGGCTCTCGCATGCTATTCCCTGAATGCGGAAAGAGTCTGTTTCAGGCTTAACTGTACCAGGCCGTGTAGTGTAACTGTACCAGGCCGTGTGGTATAACTGTACCAGGACCGATGCTGGAGGCGTCTGATATAGGTGTACCAGGCCGTGTGTTGTAACTGTACCGGGCCGTGTGGTTTAACTGTACCAGGTGGTATGGTGTAACTGTACCAGGCCGTTTGGTGTAACCGGACCAGGCCGTGTGGTGTAACCGGACCAGGCCGTGTGGTGTAACCGGACCAGGCCGTGTGGTGTAACTGTACGAGGACCGGTGCTGTAGGTCTGCCACCCGGGTTCGTGTGTCCTGTTTGGGACTGTATCGTTGCTGTGTGCGGTGCCTGTGCTCAGCTATCTCCCTCTCCCCTCCACACACAGCGGAACCCGCTCAAAATGAGTCAGTTCAGCAGAGGTGGCGCGCCGGCCACCGGCTTGTACAACAGCAAGCGGCCCGCCAGCGGCGCGCGGGGCATGCCTCAGCCGACCGGGCACGGCGCTCCGGCGCCGCCTGAATTCGGCACACCCAACGCCATGGCGGGACCCGGTGGACCTCCCATGTCCATGGCGGGGCCCGGTGGACCTCCCATGTCCATGGCGGGACCCGGTGGACCTCCCATGTCCATGGCGGGGCCCGGTGGACCTCCCATGTCCATGGCGGGACCCGGTGGACCTCCCATGTCCATGGCGGGGCCCGGTGGACCTCCAATGTCCATGGCGGGACCCGGTGGACCTCCCATGTCCATGGCGGGGCCTGGTGGACCTCCCATGTCCATGGCGGGACCCGGTGGACCTCCCATGTCCATGGCGGGACCCGGTGGACCTCCAATGTCCATGGCGGGACCCGGTGGACCTCCCATGTCCATGGCGGGACCCGGTGGACCGGGTATGCCTGGCCCCTACTGCATGGTAAGTGGCAGCGAATGAAGATCTGGTTCATCCAGAATACTATGTCGTTGCTGTGGCCTGACCCTAACCGCAGCATTGTTGCATATACCGTGTATACTGTATAGCTGCATTGTAGGCTGTTTTACTTTTTGAATGCATCGACGTTCTTATGTAGTTCATATTATACTACATATTTCTTTCAACATCTTTCTTTTGTCTAGTAAGTTGCCTTGGATGCGTATCTTTTGATGACTGGGTGATTCTGTTGCGGCTGCTGGGGCAGCGCGGTGTGGCTGTGCCATGTCGGACCGACCGCACCCGTCCGGCCCTGACTGACCGTCCCCCATGCCCGGTCCCGGCCCAGGTCAGCTCAGCCGGGCACATGATGCCGTCGCCGTCGTGCGGCCCCAACATGATGTCGTCGCCGGCGATGCGCTTCTCCACGGCGTCGTCGATGCCGTGTGGCGGCAACGGCGGCGGCGTGGTGCCGGGCGGCGACGACGGCCGGCCGCTGACGTCCGTGCAGCGGCTGCCCGACGAGGACCTGACGCCCGAGCAGCGCCACCACCGCGCCTCCCAGCTGGCCACGCTCAAACGCATAGGCGAAATGCTGCTGCCCGACCAGCCGCGGCCGGCCGGCGGCGGCGGCGCGCCGGCCCAGCCGCCCGCCCAGCCGCCCAACGCCTGCCAGATGACCAACGGGCCCATGGGTCCGCTGGGCGGGCCGGGCGGCCTCGGCGCGCCCATGGCCGGCGCCGGGATGATCATGGCGCCCAACGGACACATGATGCACAATAACGGCATGGGCCCCGGCGGCGGCCCCATGGGCCCCATGGGTCCCGGCGGACCGATGATGGGGCCGCAGGGCGGACCGATGGGGCCCGGTATGATGGGCCCCATGGGCCCCGGCGGTATGATGGGCGCGCAGCCGGCGCGCATGCTGGGCCCCGGGGGGCCGGCGACCTCGATGGCCGCGCAGATGGAGTGGCAGCGGCTGCAGTCCGAGTTCTACGATGAACGCCGCCGAAAGGGACTGATGACCATGGGCCCCGGCGGCATGCCCATGGGACCTCAGGGCCCCGGCGGTATGCCGATGGGTCCGCAGGGACCGGGCGGCCCGATGGGTCCGCAGGGACCGGGCGGCCCGATGGGTCCGCAGGGCCCCGGTGGTCCGATGGGTCCGCAGGGTCCGATGGGTCCGCAGGGCCCGGGCAGCCCGATGTGCGGGCAGGTGCCGGCGGGCGGCATGCACCCCAACATGCGGATGATGATGATGCCGAGCCGGATGCAGGGTCCGCCGCCGCCGTACCCGGTGAGTCAGCCGCGGCCGGGCGTGCCGGGCGCCCTGTCCAGCCCCAACCCGAGCTCCAGCTCGCCGACCACATCCGTGCCGCGCGGCTCGCCGCGGCTGGGCTCGCCGGCCGTCTGCCCGCGGCTGCCCACGCCCGGGCCGTCGCCGCACTCGCTGGCCGGCACGGCGGCGCCCTCGCCGCGGCCGGTGCCGTCGCCCTCGCCGCGCCACCTCAGCAACCCGGGCACGCCGGCGTCGGTGGCCTCTCCGGCGGCGGCCGGCGCTGGCCGCGTGCCGGCACCCGAGTTCACGCCGCCGCAGAGCCAGCCGCCCGTCTGCCTGCCGGGCAGCATGTCTCCGGCGGCGCCGGCGCCGGCAGCCGCGCCGCCGCCACCGCCGCCGCCGCCACCGCCGCCCGGCATGCACCATCAGCAGGCCGGTGAGTGTAACTAGTCATGTAGCAAACCATGTCAGATGGCGGCTCTATTTGTGCGTGTGTGCACGTGTGTGTTCTCGGGAGAGACATCGGCGGGAATTCGGTGTCAATTAGAAGCCCAAACCATACTGATAATGGGCCCTCGGTATACGGTTATCAGCCGCACGTTACGGTCCAAACTGTGATTAGCTTCCAGTTACCGAGGCTGCAGGTCAGTTATGCAGTATCGGCATCGCTCCCAGGGGTGTGTTGTGTAGTGTCGGCGGGCCGCAGCTGTGTCGCGGTGGGCAGAACGCTGTGGTGGGTGTCGGTAGTGTGTGTGACAGTCGCGCCCGCTCCGCCGACAGGTGACCTATTCGGCCGGTCGGCCGGCGGCGCACCGTTCGGCGCCAGCGAGCCCAACCTGATGCCCGTGCCTTCACCGCAGCAGATACAGTACATCAACAACTTCGAGGGGCAGGAGCTGACCATCCACAAGCAGGCCAACACGGGTCTGCGGGAGACGGCCGACGCCCGCCCTCCGTCGTGAGTGCGGCCCGGCGAGTGGCGCGAGACGGTGCCGGGCACTGTCCGCCCTGGTCGGGGGGGGGGGGGGCACCGTCCGGTGCTCCGAGCCGGCCCGACAGTTTGTTAACTCGTGCACTGCAGGGGGGGGGGCTGTTTGAACACCCTTCCCCCCCCCCCCCCCACCTGCGGGTTTTCGCGAATACCTCAAAACTGAGCGCCGCCGTTTTCGGCACACCTTATCATACATCTTTTTTGCACATATCGTGAAAAATGTCAAACTAAGGTCTCTCAAGGTCAGGTCGCCAGGTCACGGCAAGTGACCCCACCTAAAAAAAATCGATTCTTGTCATAGCTACGCCGAGTGATGGATCGCCTTGAAAATTTCAACAATTGATAGGGTAGCAGTATGTATAAATTTTTGATGTTGAAATTTGGATATCGTTAACCTAAGGTCAGGGCATTTTTGTGATTTCCCGACTGCAATGTTAATGTATATTATAATTACGGAGCGAGCGAAGCGAGCGGAGTCTTTCCTTAGATTGACGGAAATTTCTGAGTATGAGCGGCCGGCCGTGCGGACGCTTTTGCGAGGCTTATATCTCAGCAACCACTTGACCGATTTACTTGCGGTAATTTTTGTAGGGTAGCTTCATTCCTTCTACCAAGTATTGGACTATTCCTGATGCATGTGGGTGACCCCTAATGCACGTGCCACGTGCAAAACGAAGAGGTGTCAGTTTTGTAATTGTTGAAATATCTCGGTAACTACTTGGCCGATTGCGCTGAAATTTGGCATGTAGGTAGGCACCCACTAGGCACTGTATATCCATGTGCCAGAGTTGGGGTGCTGCTGCACGTGCGCACGTGCAGGGGTCGTTTCCAGATCTTGAGAACGGCTCGACCGATTGCGCTCAAATTTGGTACACAGTTAGGGACCGGTTAGCAGGGTGCCGTGCAAAAGTCAGTCGGGACCCATTTTGCACGTGCAGGGTGCCGCTTCCAGATCTCGAGAACGGCTGGGCCGATTGTGCTCAAATTTGGCACATCGCTAGAGACTGGTTAGTAAGGTGCCGTGCACAAGTCAGTTGGAGGTACCCCCTCGAAATTTCGCACGTGCAAGGCCCACCCTCTCGCTCGCTCCGTTAGTCGCCCCAAAAGGCGTTATACTGGTGTATAAGTCATTGGGAGAGAAATGAAAGGCGCCTCGTTTAGCCAAGCGTAACTCACTCGAACACTGGAACACTGAGGTATAAGTAAACACGACATACTGAACCGGAAAACGGCACCCGTGACCCCTCCCTAAGTCCCTGAGGTCATCACGTGTCACGAAAGGTGTCCAACAGTTTTTTCGCTAATAACTTTTAATAGAGGCATGAACGCCTTAGATGTGTTCAGGTCGACGATACGGATCGACTGATTTGCAACAAGACCTTTTCCGATCAGGTCATAATTTTAAAGGAAATGCATCACTTTCAACATAGAGTTTTGAACTGGAATAGCAGTTTTGTAGCTTGAGCTGAGACAAGCACAAATCAGGAGCTTTTACGCTCCAACGATCACCCTAGGCAAAGATATTTCATTTCTCGTTCTGAAAAGAGTGCCTTGTATAGGAATGTGGTGCCTTGTAGAAGAATGCCAAGAAAGCAGCCACTTGTCGCAGAGGCTTAGCTCAGCCAATCAGCGTGCAGTCGCTTTGAACGTCGAATCTATAATTTGGACTTCAATTTGACCTTTCAAAGTCTAATTATAGTTAATTAAACGCGCCTTGACAGAGGAACACGATGCCGATAAAAATAAGCTCGTGCAAGTTTTGAGTCAAAAGTATTTGCAGAAAACCGTTTACACAAAAAGCCAATTTTGGCAGTTTTTCCTTCGGTGAACGTAGGTCAAATCCGAGATAATTGTTAGAAAGAGCGTTCACAGCGCTGTCAAATGCGTTTTTTTTTCTGCGGCGCTGTAGCTGTATTCGTTTCCCAGAAATGCGCTGGTTTATCGAAAATAGTCCTAATAGGCTAAACCTTTGGTGACCTGGTGACCTTACCTTTAGCTTCACCGAAAAGTGACTGAAGTAATTTCGCTATTATTTTTTACGTTTTTTTTTTCGAGCGCCGCCTACCGCGTGTCGTTCCGTGGCCCAGCAGCCGAGTTAGGGCGCGGGTTAACGGTGGCCTATTGAAGCCCGGATTGAGCTAAAAATCGCTTAATTCTCCGAAATAGTTGTAACGTGAAAGCATGAGCTCTGACTGACGCGCGCTCTAAAGTGGTTTCTGGAGCGCCACGGTTGATGGGGGCCGGCGCAGTCCTGGCCTTATATTCACGAGTGGCGCTTAGCAAAAAGCCAGATGCAACTCAACATTTCATTTTCAAAGGATACGCAAATGCCTAGCCTCCCCAAGCTGATGCGACAGTCAAGACAAGGTGGAGTTGCGGGCGGCCGATTTTCTGCGGGTTCAGCAGCAGACTGGAGCTGGGGGGGGGGGGGGGGAGTGCGTCAGTAGGGCCCTCCCTGATATTCGAGCCGCACACACTGAGCACGAAGCCGCACCAAGTCTGATGTCTGCTAATCTAAATAGATTTTCCGAATCCAACGCGTCAACAGAAGTCACAAAAGTGCCTTAGGTCTGCTACTTTAGTCCAAATGACCCCTCATAGACCATGTTGACATGTCAAAAAGCACACACATACACATTCCGAGGGGCTTACAGGTAGATTTCCAGTGATGTGACAATTCGAGCCAAGACTAAAGAGCAAAAAAAAAAAGCACCACTCATGTGGCAGACCGTCGCGTCGCGGCACGTGCCAGCTCAGGGATGTCAAAGTTGATCCGCTTTCAATAACGCCGCATTGAGTGGGCGGATTGTGCTAAAATTTTGGTCTTTCATTGGGCGCTTACCGGGCAATGTATTTGCTCGTCTTATGATTGGGGCGCTACTGCACGTGCGCACGTGCACTGTGCAGGGGTCGCTTCTACATCTGTACAGGGACCGTGTCGACTGGGCTGGAAGAGGGTACACTAGCGGGGATCAGCTAGATAAGTGCACGCTTCCTCGCTCGAGGGAACGCTTAACGCTCTCTCTTCCTTGGCCCAAAAGGCATCTTACTGGTTTTACAGCTTGTTACACAAACTTTGAAGTCAATGGTTTTCATTTGTTACTTTCCATCATTTGTTAGGCATTCCTATACAGCATACTCGATAAATCTACATAGTTACGACTTACGAGCAGCTGTAGTTTTATTGGCATGCCATTTACATTGCTGCAGCTTGTTGTAATGTGTTGTCGCCCTCTCGGCACGGTTCCCCGCCCGTGCCGCGTCAGTTGCCTGCGCCGCTCGTTGACGGACGCCCTCTCCCCCTGTGCGTTGCAGCGTGCCTTCAACGTCTGTGCCGGAGCTGTCGTCCGCGGCGGCGGCCGACGGCCAGCTGGCGCGCACTGGACCGGCCACGCCGCTGACGCCATCTGGCGGCGAGCGGTCGGCGCTGACGCCCGGCGGCGACCGTCTGTCGGCGCCCAGTCCGCAGCTGACGGCGCCGCTGACGCCCTGCAGCGGCGACGCCAAGGTGCGCTTCCCCGGGCCCAGCCCCGGCGGGCCGCGCACGCCCGCAGACGCCCGCTTCCCGGCGCCCAGTCCAAAGGCGTCGTGCGCCGGCGGCCCGGAGTCGCTGCAGCGGTTCGGCGGCCCCGGCTCGGCCGGCCGGCCCAGCTCGGTGCCGCCGGGCCCGCTGTCGGGCGGCCCACCCGCCTCGGCCGCCGCCGCTGTGTTCCCGGGCGCGCCGTCGCCGGCCGGCCTGCAGGGGCCGCTGGGCGGGCCCATGTCGTGCGGCCCCGGCCGGCCGATGGGCGTGCCCGTGGGCCCCATGTCCGGCGGCCACATGTCCGGCCCAATGATGATGGGTCCGGCCGGACCGCGGATGCCGGCCTACTCGGACATGATGCCGGGCCGGCTGCCGTCCGAGCGCGACCTGCCCATCAGCCACGCGCACATGCCGCTCAACCCGCAGCAGGTACCCATCTCCATGGCCGATGGAAAGATGTTCGACCCCATCTCGTCCATGGTGCAGATGTCGCAGCAGCTGACGGGCGGCGGCGGCGGCGGCGGCGGCAGCAGCCCGGTCACCAGCGGCCCGCCCTCGGCCGGCGCCACCAGCCAGGCCAACAACTTCCTCTCGGGCGGCATGGTGGAGAGCGGCCCGGCGGCGGCAGCTGGCGGCGGCCGGGCGCCCGTCGGGCCCGGCTCCGGCCCCATGGTATCGATGGCGCCCTGCACGGTCAACCAGCCCGACTCGTCGCCCAAGGCGGCCATGGTTCGCGGGATGCCGTCAGCGGCGCAGCAGTTCCTGGGCGCGCCCGGCTCGGCGATGATGCCGCGCATGATGGGCGCCGGCGGACCGCTGATGGGCCCCGGCCGGCCGGCGGCCCCCGGCCAGCCGGGGCCCTACAGCGGCGCCAGTGTCCAGGTGAAGGCCAGCGCGCCCAACACCATCCAGTACCTGCCGACGCGGCCGCAGACGGCCACGGCGGCGCCGCGCGGCCCGCCCAGCCTCGAGTTCCTGCAGCGCTTCACGGGGCCCAGCTCCATGTCGGGCCCGATGGGCGATCAGGGCGGCGGGCCGGGGCCCATGGCCGGCCACGGCGGCATGGTGATGACGGTGCCCAGCGGACCGATGAGCGGCGGCGGCGGCGGGCCCGGCGCGCCGCTCAGCATGAGCGGGCCCATGAGCGCCGCCAACAGCATGACGATGACCGGCCCCGGCGGGCCCATCAATGCCATGCCGATGGGCCCCGGCGGCCCGATGGGCGGCATGCCGATGGGCGACCCGCGCCACGGCGGGCCCATGGGCCGACAGATGAACATGATGATGATGCCCAGCGGGCCGATGATGGGCGGGCCGATGCAGGGCGGCTACAGCGGGCCGATGGCTATGGCCGGCGGCCCGGGCCCCATGGCCGGCGGCCAGCTCATGGTGGCCGGCGGACCGCTGCCCGGACAGATGGGGCCGCGACCGGCGCCCGCTATGATGCGGGGCCCCAGTCCCGGCATGAACATGATGGGCGAGCCGATGTTCGGTGCCGGCGGGCCGCAGCCCATGATGAACAACAACGGCCCGGCGCCGGCTATGTACGGTCACAAGGGCGGCGGCATGATGATGGCGGGCGGCGGCGGCGCGCCCGAGGCCGCCCAGCCGCTGCCGCCCTCCATGGGCCAGCCGGGCGCCGCCAAGACGAACCAGTTCGGCGGCTGGTACCACTGACCCGGCCGGCCGGCCGGCCGCCCGTCCTGTGATGGTGCAATAAGAGCGATATTCTCGGTTGTTAGCGTTGTTGGTGGGCGGCGGCCGATCGCTGTATGTACATAGTGCTGCCGGCCGCCGGCGGCGTCAGCGCCCGTCCAGGTGAGAGTGAGCGCCGTGCCAGACGGACAGGTGGTGTGCCAGAGCTGACCGGCCGGCCGCGTGTGCTGACTGAGTGCTGCGCGCGCGCACAGTGTGTGGTGGTGTCAGCGCCGTCCCGGGACGGCCCCGTGCCGGCGCCCTCGAATCGTGACATAATGCTCGGCCGGCAGCGCACCAGCCGCACGGAGATTATTGTTTTTAGAGAACGGCGCGCCGATTTTTTTGACAATGTGTACAATGTTCACCGATCTTGTACAGGCAGCATCGCGAGAGACGGCTCAGTATTCATTATTCATTACTTGTGCATGTAGATTACTGACCTGTACATTTTTAACATATGGAAATTGACATAAATATTTTACAAATAATCGTGTTTTACTTTCACAGTGATGATTCAATCCGGGCAATACGGCGTTTCCAATTGCAATTGAGGCTGTTGTAGTCCTAAGCATTGATTTAGGCCTGAGGCCATAGCAACCAGACGTTTTATAGGTGTGTAAATACGTGTGTGTTCTAGAGCGACAGGCATGCGCCATTGGTGAAGTGCGGACTGCGGAGGCCGGATACGGAACGGTCTGTCTCGGCGCTATCGTCTCGTATGTACAGTCTGTTCTGTCTTAAAAGTACCGCGCAAGGTGACGGTGGATCCATCAAGCCTGACCGAGGAAGGGCCTGCTGAATTTGAAAGTCACCGAACCAATTGACCTGGGGAATGGACGATGATGTCAATTGCTTCGGTGACTTTCAAATTCAGCAGGCCCTTCCTCGGTCAGGCTTGATGGATCCATCGTCACTTTGCGCGGTACTTTTAAGACAGACTGTACATGGCCTATACATACGGGGCCGTGATTCACGGCCCGACGCTGCTGTCACTGGCGGATCGGGGGGGCGGCAGCTGGGGCTAAAGCCCCTTCCATTCGAAACTCGACAGGGGCGGCAATAAAAATTAGCCCCCCCCCCCCAAATGCACCGGGATTGGTCATTAAAATGATTGATTGCTGGTAAGTTCCAGCCTTCGATAGTGAAGTTCCTTTAGAAATTCCTTTCCGCTGTTAAGTTGGTAGCGATTTGGCAGCTATTCAAGGATGGAAGAGTGGCGCCCAACTGACTTTCAGCGTCAGAGATTTATATCGAGCCTTGGTTTGTGTCAGCAGCACCGCACCGGTACGGCCTTTTGTACGCCGGTAGGCCACCGTCAAACTCTGCGTAAGTCGGCACGACTCGACTTAACGCAGGTCGGTGGTCGAGTGGCCCCATACACCAAAGCGCCCCGCGCCCCAGTGGCGGTCTCAGCCAACTTCGCCCTAGTGAGGGGGGGGGGGCATATGTTACCACCCACCTCTAACTCAAAAACTAAGAGGGATAGAAAGACGCGGTAAAAAACAGTCGATAGCTCTCAATGCGTACGTTTGAAAGTATTTCGGTCATTTTTCATCTTAGAGCAATATTGGGGTCACCAGAGGTCATCAAAGGTCAAAATTTGCCAATGGTCATTATATTTTTCAGAAAACATGCGGTTAGCTCAGGAACTATGGTAGCTAGAAAAACGCATGGAACAGCAATCGATAGCTTTTGAACTTTTCTTTTGATAAGGTCATTATCAAAATTGACCTCAGGTCAACGGTTTAGCCTCCAGAGGGCAAAAACTCCAAAAATAGCTGTTTTTACGAAAAGTGTTTTTCGACAATAACTTTCGACTACAAAAAGCCACGACATTTCTATTGCCAGAATCGTGTTCCTCTCGCCGAGACGCGTCGAATGAACTATAATTTGACCTTGAAAGGTCAACTTGAAAATTTGACCTCAGGTCAAGGTATGACCTGACCGGGAAAGGTCATGTTGCATATCAGTCGATGCGTCTCGGCAAGACAAACACAATGAGACCATCCCCAGCGTTCTATCTCTTTCCAATCTTGAGTTATTGGCAAAAAACTGTTTGTAGCCTCAAATGACCTCGGATGACCTTTCTAGAGGCTATCAGCAAAAATGACACCTTGGTCATCACGGGTGGTCCAAATCATTGTGATTCTGAAATATTTGGACTGTTCCTATGCGTACACACGGATCTAGAGGCATTTTCATTTTTCTCCATTGACTTGTAATGGAAAGGTCACGCCACTGACCTGACCTTAGGTCACGGATATAAAAAAAATCCGAGATATACAAATTGTAGGCGCCCATAACATCATCCAATCCACCAAGTTTAAAACCTTTCCGACAAACACTGCTGGCTGGACATGATTGCAAACTTTTTTTAGGCTTGGTCAGTTAACTTGACCTGGTGACCTGACCTGACATGACCTGGGGTAAAAAATTTCACACATTGTCCAAAATTGATGTACCAAAAGCTATCCCAAGCGGCGCGGCGCTACGCGCCGCGGTTTTTTATTTACACGCAAAAAACGCGACAGGGTGGTAACATATGCCCCCCCCCCCCCACTGGGGCGAAGGAAGCTAGAAAACTGGGTGAATATTCCTATTAGCGTCTGTTCCCAAGAGGATATGATGCTTAACCCACAAGTCACAACCAACCAATCACAACGGCACAGAGATTGAGATGTGGCGCCTGGCGGGGACGGGTATCCGCGGCGTGGTGTCCGCTGGGGCATTCCACGATAGATCGACCAAAAAAACTTTAAATTTACACCCGCATATTTTAGTTTTTGTTTAAAATTGGTCTAACGGGTTGTGATGGGCGGGGAACCCAGCTGTGGCAAGGATTTTTTTCTTCGAACAACGGTTTCCGAGATATAGCCTCGGGCAGTTCCTGGAGGTCTCGCTGCAACCCTATGTTTGGCGGCTTATAACTCAGAAACTATTGGTTTTCTATCGTAAGAACTTGATATGTGTTGTGTCGTGAATTTAGTTGCGCTGTTCAGTGTTCGTATCAGCTGCGCCAGAATTGTGCGAGGTTGCTTTGTTATTTTTAGGGAAGACCCAAGTCGTGTCAGCTGATTGCAAATTCCGAACCGGCGCCAATGTGATTTGTAAAATGTAGACGTTTCATGCCCACGCGTTGTAGTCGTGCTTAGTTTCTTATTTGATAGGCACTATAATTGTAAGAATGCTCACCGCCCTCTCGTCTTGTGTTTAGTCACGGCATCGGCCCACTACTAAGTCCGGGGTGGACTTCCGGTAATGGCGGCGTAGGCGTTGGTCGCGTGGTTTTTTGGTATCTTGTTGTGCGGCGGCCAGAATACACGTCCGGCAGTTCCGGTGATCGTTTTCGGCCGCCCGCCTCTCACGAGGCCACTGTGAAGAGGCAACACAACAAAGTGGCGACGGAGGACTTCGAACAGTGATTTTTCACCATGGATTTCGCGGCGGCTCCCGCGCCGTTTTTGCCCACCGCTGGAGCTGAGCCGGCGATTCCCTGGCCTCGGTGGGTCAGGATGTTTGAGAACTTTTTGTGTGCGGTCGGAGGTGACGCTTTCCCTCCCGCACGTCGCCAAGCTGTCCTCCTGACTTGTCTAGGGACGGAGGGGCAGCGGGTGTTTGAGAATCTGCCACCCATGGAGAAGCTGGAAAGCGAGGACGACTTCCAATGGTGCCTGCGCCGCCTCGAGGCCCATTTCGCTCCCAAACAGACCCGGGACGGGCCGGGTCGAGGGGCGGCGCTCTGTGCAGGTGAGCCGCAGGACCGGTCCGGTCAGCTACAGGCTGGCCACAGGTGAGCGGGTGCATGCCAGGCGCCTGGTACCGGGCCGCCCGGGGGAAGCTGATCGCGAGGTGCCGGTGACCTTTTACCCAGTCGGGGGCGAATCCGAGCCTACTGACCCAGCCCCTGTGACCGTGGACCCCGCTCCTACCGATGATGTGTGTCCCGAGCCGCCCAGGGGTACCAGTCCTGTCCCAGCGGCGCCAGTCGGTGCCGCCCCTGACGAGCATGCGGCCCCGCGCCGCAGCCGTAGGGTGCGTAGGCCGCGGAAGCGTTTCTCGCCGTAGGTTAGGCGAGTTTGCGCGTGTACAGTTTAGCTCAGCACCGTACCTGTGCCTGGGTGTTTTCATAGGGTGTGTTTTCCCTCAAAGAGAGGGGTGGTGTTGTGTCGTGAATTTAGTTGCGCTGTTCAGTGTTCGTATCAGCTGCGCCAGAATTGTGCGAGGTTGCTTTGTTATTTTTAGGGAAGACCCAAGTCGTGTCAGCTGATTGCAAATTCCGAACCGGCGCCAATGTGATTTGTAAAATGTAGACGTTTCATGCCCACGCGTTGTAGTCGTGCTTAGTTTCTTATTTGATAGGCACTATAATTGTAAGAATGCTCACCGCCCTCTCGTCTTGTGTTTAGTCACGGCATCGGCCCACTACTAAGTCCGGGGTGGACTTCCGGTAATGGCGGCGTAGGCGTTGGTCGCGTGGTTTTTTGGTATCTTGTTGTGCGGCGGCCAGAATACACGTCCGGCAGTTCCGGTGATCGTTTTCGGCCGCCCGCCTCTCACGAGGCCACTGTGAAGAGGCAACACAACAATATGGTTCAACTCGCAATCAACCAACAAACGTTTTGGCTATCTCGGATTTTCGATTTTTGAAAATTTTGCTCACGTGACATCTTGACCTTTTTTCAAAGAGTGACCTTGATATTTTCCCAACTGAAAGTCGCAATTCTGTCTGATGACGATTAAAGCCTTATCAATTGTCATTCATATATGATAATAAAAAAGTGGCTTTCGGCCTGCGTTGACCTCAGGTCAGGTCATTTTTATGACCTTCCCATTATTACGAGCGGGAGCGACAGCGAGATCTCGAGAACAAAGCAAGATAGCGACAAGCGGTAAACGGCACAGGGTACACATGGATAAGGTCTACAATTTTTACTCAGGTCATTTTCAGGTCAGGTCAAAGATGACGTCACAGGGGGGAAAAGGTAGTCTAAATGGCGGCACTACATATATATGAAGTTTTTCTCGAATAACTTTCGAAGTATCCCAGCTAGGAACAAACTAATAGCACCATCGTGATCCTGTCGTCGATCCGCATCGAAACATGTGTATGTTGACCTCGAAAGGTCAAGGTCAAAAGTTGACCTAAGGTCACGCGACCTTAAGGTCATCATATATATCATTCGATGGGCCTTGACGAGCTGAACACAATGAGCTGATCCGCGCGGCTGTATCTCAAACCTGTAAGGAGTTATTAGCAAAAAAAAAAAACTTTTGGTGACCTTTAACCCTCGCCCATGTAGGGGGGTTGGTGCAACCCCCCCCTGAGGTTTTTTGGAAATAGTGCAAAAACGGCGGCGCGCAGCGCCGCCAAATTTTGGGTACCTTATGGGGCAAACCTTGCGCATCTTTTGATAAAAAAATTTGACCGGGTCATGTCAGGTCACGGAGTTATGACGTCACAAAGGGAACAGCCTCCGGCCGGATTTTC